GCGTAGGGAAACTGCGAAAGAGTGCGACAGTACGTCAGGAGAATCCTTAATAAGGCAGCAAGTGCTATCGAATCCACCTAGATAAAGTCGCGACGCGGAGTTTCTTATACTTTCTCGGGGTTTCACTTGGTTAACTTTGATGAGCTATTATTAAATACACAGAAAAACGAAACTCTAGCGCCAGCTATAAATCGAGGCCGACGTGTAATTTATTCTCGTTTAATTTTTACGATACTGACGCAACGAGCGTTTGTGTAAAAACCGTTCTGAAACTCGGAAATTTAATTTCAACTTGATGAATGATAGCTGGTTTCTATAATAGAAGTATTTAATCGATTTATCCAATTGAATTACGCGGCTCGTGTTGAACTTTGTGCAAATAGATTGATTTTAATTATCACCGAGATTGGCAAGAAACAGAGGAGATATTGTTAGTGCTTAGCAACTGATTAAGAATTAGGCATTCGCACAATGCATGGTGCATGGACGTGAACGTATTTCGTCGTTGTAATATCCAGGAACTACCATATGAAGTATGACACGTGATAATGAGGTACCTCGCATACAGCCGCGTTGCAATGCCAGGCTTCACTGTAACTTGCCATAGTCGGCAACGTCAAGCACAAATTGCACGCACCGAAAGCTCGCCGAGCACTTGCGTTAATGGTGTTTATTTTAGTATGATTATTAGGTCGTGGGACTTCGGGGATAACGATTGACAATGCGTCCAAGATTCGCTCGCATTTAGACATACGAACAGAAATTAGGAAATAGAGAGAGCATGTTAGGAAAGAGTAGGTGGCGCGCTTTCGAGGAAGACAGAACGAAAAAAGCGAGATTTATCTACCGCGGATAGATAAACACACGTATAACTCACAGAGATTATAGTTTGTCTAACTTCCGTCCGGTATCTTTATAGATCGCGAAAGCGTGAAAAACATACAACGCGCATGCGAACGTTATCCGTATTCATACATATATATCTTTGTTTTTATATATTTTTACATACGAGGTATTTTATATACGAGGTCGCATTCGCTTCTTGTCTCTTCTATCGACAGAATGACTGGATTGCTTGTTTTTTGCTGTCTATCAAAAAAATTACATGACGTTGAATAATAATATTGTCAATTTCTAACGAAACAACGGTGAATCTCATTCGATCGTATATTCATATTTTTTGTTATATCGAGATCGCGATTTATGAGAAGGGGTATTAACGAATATATATTTAAATATACGTTTATCACAGAATGTCCGATTTTAAATTTAATAACAGTTGTTTTAACGAGAAATATGATACTAAACTTTTTTCCACAAAAAAAGAAATAGTAATCATCGTTAGATCACCATAGAGCATTATATATCTTTATAATTTTTTAACTAAACTAAAAATAATTTACTGGAAAATTTAGATAGACGAATACATCATTTAATCACAAAAAGTATTTTACTTTCCATCGCTTACAGTTCAGGTAATATTTAATGTCTCGACATTTCACTTAAAAGAAAATCTACTCCAAGTTGGTCAAAGAATTAAGGCTAATGGTTCTGGAACATCTTGCATAATCCGCATCTCGATCGAACATCTCAGGGGGAGACTCGGAAGTTTCAAATTTCTCTTTTCGCTTCGTAATTTAATTTATAGCATAATTTAATCGAAACTCATTGATGTCACAATAAAGCCGAATGTAACAGCCAATAAAGTTTCGATCTCTGAATCAGCTCTGAATCAGCATTTACACGCGGCATAATATCGATTCGGCACTCGGCTCTCTGTCTACGAGAGAAAATATTTTCACGGTACGTTTTGCGAGCTACCGAAAATAATGCGCGACGTAAAGAGCGCGCTATGTCCAGTTCGTCTCTGACACCATAACATCGTAACGTTTGTCGAGAACAGCTTCGAACATCGGTCTCGACGTCGATTTTGGGTTGTCGTTTTTACCGAAGCACTACAGGGAAATTTCAATTCAATTCCCCGCGAAACGACGAACGAGAAAATCGTTTCTCAAACCGGTCACGGTTATGCGAAATGACTTGTCAAAGTAAGATTGTCATTTGTAATACTTTGTTGACATCAAGAAATGTATTTCTTTGTGTGACGATATATATATATGTATATACATCGCATTTGACAATTAAATTACAACTAAAGCACAAGAGCTCGATGTTCGTGTTTAAGTAACACGTTTTTGTATTAGGGACAGTTCTAGACGAAGATTTGGGGTCTCCGAGGAAAAATTAATGGAAAAATATAGCATCCCTGCACAGAGATATCGCCCGGTAATTGCCACAGCTTTTGGAAGTTCTCTTAAATATGACAGATGAGAGAACGGCCGAGAGAAACTTGACACGAATCTCGTAATGGATCCATCATAATTACCGAGGTGCATTTCCGACTAATACCACGTGAAAAATAACGGGAGGCCACCGCGGAACGAAGGTAGTATTAACGGTAAGTGAGAAAGTATCGAGAGCGTATCGTGAATTGACAATTCGGGCCGCGGGTCACTACGACAGACGGATGGGTACATATACGGGGTATATGTACACCATATATTGTGAAACCAGTTTGAAATCGGAGTCAATACATTGGCGGAACGGCTCTCTAATATCCCGCTTTGATATCTCGCCCGATTTTATCGAGTCCACCGATTGCTTCGAACACAAGACGAAAATTATACACACACCCGTTCCCGCGGCGTGTTTGGAAAGCCTGATTGAAAGTGGGGTCGCACGAGACCAATCAATAAGAAAAAAGAAAAAATAATAATAATCTACCGCTGACGGAGAATTCATGAGACGCGGAAAAGTTAATAGGAATAAAAAAAAATCGATTGGTGGAAACGATCGGAATGTTACGGTCCTCAGCTTGATGGATGAAATCCGGCGGTGCGCCGTTCACTATTCCCACGCGATCTTAGGAAAATCGCGCAAAGTACCCCGCGGGGAGAAGTCCCATTATCTCTGACACATGAAAAACTTGAACAAGAAGAGACGGCGACTTTTCCCGATGCGCTATCGAGAGCACCGGAGATTGGATCTGCCGGTGCGTCATGAATATTCACGAGGGTGCGGATGTCATTTTATGCAGTTCATTCGGCGTTTTGGTGTAAGGTGAGCCCAGCCGCGATTGCTGCTGGTTATTCGTGTGTTAATCCTGAATAATTGAAGGGTCCCGGCATTATCGGTGCCCTATCGGTCGACTATTCGATTCTCTCGATTGATAGACCACCTCGGAATTATGAATTCTTCGACTCTCCATGACCAATAACTTGTCACTCCCGACGGATTTAACACTTCAACGTCACCCGTGGACATTTTGTTGAAATGGAGATGTCCGCAGAGATGTGCGCGTGTTCGAACAGAGAATACGTCAAAACTCGTCGATATACCATCGGCCAGTATTCGAGTGCGGCGCTCATCGTGGAGGCCTCGATGGAGGAAACGCGCGCGTAATATTTCACGTAGTCTACCATCGTTGCAGGACCAAAGGAGTCGTTCGAGAGAGGCTTATTCCGCGGAGCCTCTAAAATATGCATCACCGACGGCGTTTACATGTCGAGATACGCGGGTGCGCTATGTAACATGCAGCGCGCGCCCCTTACAGACTAACGCGATGTACTGGTTGCCCGACGTATCCAAAATTCAAATCACGCGGCACTCTTCCTCGAACGACTCTTCGTAAATGTAAACGTGGACGTATAAGTCCGTGAGAGACGTCGGAGTTACCCATAGACATTGCGAATTTACGAGGTAACGTGGCGACCGCACTGGCGTCTGCGCAAGAAACGCACGTGCACCAAACGTATCGACACGTAATAAGATGACATTACCCCACGTGAGAAATAGATATTACAGCGAGGAGTATATCGATTTTTCGATTGATTGTGAAATATGTAGTTGTTTCGAAGCTACCGCTCCTAGTCTGCAACAAGATTTCTCACAACGTCCCATTTATCACAATTAAATCGAGATCAGGAGATGATTTATCTACCTAAATATACCAGGATATATCCTAAATCGGTCGAAATTGATGTGAAGGATAACAGTCTCCTATTTTTCTAGCGATATAACGCGACAATAAAACTCCTACTAATGGTTAAAGTGTAATTGTAAAGGTATATTCGACTAATCGATACGCGAGTGAAAGTGCACGCGCACCGTCGTCGGCGATAAATATACGGAAACGAGAGCTTTCGAGACATCGAGAGCCCCGTCGAACGATTTAACGACAGCAGCCGGAAAAGTGTGCGTGTGATCCGTGAGAGGAAAAAGAAATGGAGTCTCGCTGGTGTAGATCGCCGTTACACGAGAGTCGCCCGACGAAAACGTTGCGCGACGTCGTTTGGTCGTCCGTGATCGAAGTAGAGTCGATCTTGACTACTTTCCTTCCGTCGTCAAAACGAAACAAACGTAGGACAGTCAGCAGTGGCGCCGAGAGTATAAAGTATCAACGGAAAGTATACTTACAGAAAAGTAAAGACGTATAACACGTGTGTAGATATGTAATATATACAATATATCGCCATATATAATAATATTATTATTATGTTCTTTATTAATAATATAATATTAATATTATTAACGAGATGATTCCATTCATTAATAAAATATCACTCGCTAATTGGAAACACAATTTGAAAGTTGAGCTAGGAGAATTTTTATAAGTATAATAATTTATGACAAATGCATAAACTATTATCCGTTGATAAATTAATTTCAAAGTTTTCAACTAAAATATCTTCCATCCGTTAGAAAGTAATTTCACTTTTCAACTTTGTAAAACATTAAGGTCTTAAGAAATGAGAAAATTTACACGTGACCTCATCATACTTTATCTGCACGTTTTATGAACTTCTATTTCAAGAGCTAAATATATACTATGTATATATTACATATCACGTGAACAGTAATAATTCCAATGAATCAACCGAAAAGAAAGGAAGAGGTGTGTCTGGCTGGTGTGCAGGCAAGCATGCTACGAGTTACGTTACCTAGGGTGAGCTTCTCGCCGGAATCGGGCGGCAGGGTGAAGCCCAATAGGGCCATGCTCGATATCAGCACGCAGGGCACGATCAGGTTGAAAAAGTAGTAGAGGGTCCTCCTGCGTATCTGTATCGTGAATGTGACGTCGACGTACGGCTCCGGGCAGCATTGATACATTATCGTGTTCTTCTTCCCCGGCATACCTGGAAAAAGTGCCAGCACCGATGTACATGCCGACATATCTGCCCGAGGGACTAAATACGACACGGATATAACAATACGGCGGGAGTAATCGTTCGCCCTTCGGTTGCATTCCTCGATTACATTCCGCGAACGACCGTCCCTCATTTTTTTTCTATTCTTGCTCGCTATATATTTTAAATCCTATTATTTTTAAAATAACGTTCTTCTGCTGAGAACATAATATAATAAAGCGCTTGCCTATCCACTTATCAATATTATTATCTTTATATCCCTTTTTATTATTTACCGTCCTTTGTCTTCTTTACTTGCTATATACTGTATCTCTATCGTGTGTCTTGAGAATACTAAAATCTCAAGGCATAAAGTGGGGTCTATCTATCATCCATCCATCTGTTTTATCGCGAGGCTACGTGAACTCGTGGAGAGAGCCGTAAATGCCGTCGAGTCATGGTGGCACCCTGTGCCCGAAAGATTCGTGCGAGCGAGTCACGTCGGGTTACTTCCCGTAGCAATTTTTCTACGGTTACTTCTCGTGGGCTTGTCTTAAACTACCTTAGGATTACGGCACGTCTCGTAAGAAACAAAAAGATCTCGCGAATTCGCGAATTTCCGCTTTCGTTCCAGCCCGTTGCGCGACGAGTTGAGCTACTGGCGAACGAACGGCGACGATGTATGTGCTACGCGATAAAATAAAACTTGCCGTCCTCGCGAATTTTAAATACGATGCACCTGCCGTGGCGCATTCTCTCAACGAAGATGGAGGGGAAATCTGCTGAAGACTAAAGGCAACCTCTTGACCGCAACCGTTCGATACTTTTTGAGGATGGAGGGTTTCTTAATAGCTTCCGATCGGACGGGCTCTCGAATCGATCTCGAACATCGCGATATCGGATACTCACTTGTTGCTGGTTGCTCGTTCTTCGAGGACTTTTTCTTTGTATTTTGGCACGTGGACCATGTTCGATGCATCCGCCTCGAGATAATTAACGTGTCTCCGCAAACACGGGTTTAAGGGCGACACTCTTAATTACACGCGCCACATCGACGCGCCGATTAGATGTGTCGGCCACCAACACACATCGAGTGTATCGTTTTGTCGGTCGGAGCACAGGTCGGAGGCATCGAGCTGGTGTTTTATTTTTTGGTATCGCAATTGTGCACACTTTGTCTCTGCCACCGCTTAAATAGCCGAAGCTTAATATCGATTAGTTTCAATTCAAGTTTTTCTTTCATTCACCTCCTTCAATTTGCAAAAAAAAATATTTTATTGATTTCCATTAAATTCATTAACAAAATTCTAAAAAAATATAAGCCTATATATATGTAAATATCTCAATGTAAATTTTTTCATTTTATAGAGCATACTATTGCTTCCAGTATTGTTGTTCTTTATATCTCTCTTGCAGTTTCATTCTATATAGAAGATGGAACCTTTCTTTCAAGGTATTTTTCTTTCTTATACGGATATCAGCAAGATTTTTTCAGATGCTAGACCGAGTCTATCAAAGATTCCATCTCCCTTTCGAGCAGTTTCAACGTGTCAACAGTCCCGGCCGAATCCACTTCGAGAAAACCGTCGTACGCGAATAGCACTTTTCGATACGCGAGCTCGAGGAATGTAGTCGTAAAGGAACACGGGACCAATAAGTGAGAGGTAGGAAAAAGAAGGAAGACAAGAAGGATACGAAAGAATATAGCGCCATGTGCGAAAGAATACCGCCGTAAAGTTATACGCCATTGCGGCAACGCCGAGACACGGAGACCCCATAAAATCCTTCGATTTCTATTTAGTCGCGTGACATCGATCGCGACTTCGCACGAAACGAGAAGCTCCAGGATACAACATCTGCGAACATGACGGAAAGCCAGAGAAAGAAGAGAAGGGGGGAATAGGGGAGGAGTGGTTGCGGTTTCTTAACGGCTTCCATCAGCATTCCTTCACACACCAATGACGCTGTTTCGTATCACCAGCGAAATTTGCGTTCCAGAATCCAGTCGAGAAGCTGGAACGAATCACGACGAAGATTTTCTTTCGCGATACACCCTCTTCTTTTATGAAAGCTGCAGAAGGTGGCTCTGAAAAGGACGATAGGATGACGTGTACAAACTGAGTTAAAAAAGACTTTTTTTTCATCGTATAAATATACAGCGGAACAATTCAAGATTCTTGTCTTGAGGAACTAGGGAGTTATTCAACTTTTTAAATAATTATATGCTGACGAAGTTGAGATGAATAAATAAATTTGTACTCGGGAATATTCACCGACTGCGCTAAGAGACAGTCGTAACTCCGAATTGTGTATTCGTATCATCGCTCAACACAAAGTTGGGAGCGGAGAACGGGCTTGTCGTTATTTGCGAGAATTAGTCTCGTAAACGAAAGATCGCTCTTAAGAGGTAACGATTTGGAGGACCCGAGCTTGCGTTGTTATTGAGTACAATTGTGTTGAATAAATACTCTGATTGCGTATATGTAGCGCAATCGCGATGAAACGCGGATGAAAGATTATAATCAGCCGTTAAAGATATGACTGCGTAATTACCGTTTGAAAATAGAATCGTTGAATTCCATAATAGCTCCTTGCAATATATTATTGCATTCGTAATGCCATCCCCCATTCTGTACTTTTACAACGTACACGTTGTACAAACAGATTCGCAAATTGCGACGGATTAACGTAGGTGCATTACCATTGTACATGCGTGCCGAGAACAGACGAGGCTGAAGCCTGAACGTGAAACGGCAAGAGAGAGAATTTCAATTATGTCAAACTGACTTCTTTCTTCTCTTCCGCATTTACATACTATTCATTTTTTTCCCGAAATAATAACTTTATTGAAGTCTAAGTAAGATGAATTACACTATACATATATAGAAGCGAAAATATAGAATGCTACACTTCAAGAGATAAGGTATCAGCAATAAAACTACTTATATAAGCCTAGACCTTTACAATTAAAATAACAGTAAAAAAAATAATAATGATAATATTATATGTGCGGATATCCGTGTATGATTTAACATTAAGAACTTTAATAGATATAAGAATTTTAATAGATATAATTTTTTAATAGAAATTAAGTAATATGCTTTTTGTTTCACAATTAATATTTGTCGACCATTAAGACAACACGTCGATCGAATTCTTTTAAAATTTTGTTTGTTTCGATGAAATAATTTTTTATGAGAGACAAAGTGTAAAAAAAAATCGTCGCTATTTTAAGCGTTGCTAATACATATCAATTTTAAGTGATATTGAGTGATAATCAAAATTCTTAAAAATTTATTTTTATCCACTTTTTAAAATGCATTTTATACTACTTAATCCAGCACTTTACTTCCGTATTATTACTGCAGAATCCATTTATTGATGCGCATCGAGTCGATTCGAGATTTTATTCTTAGCCTTCAATAGGCACGTTCCCTTACGCACACAAACACACATATAAATATACTCGTGCCAATACAGAGGCAGAGTCTGATTGGGCTGACAAGTCGTAAACTTGCTCAGTGAAACTCACCGATGAGGTACCATTCCCCGTTCATGATGAAATCGGATAAGTCACCACCCTCCTCTGAGTTGAGTACCAGATCGAGCTACCAAGGTCAAAGTTTGATTAAGATGGGCACGTATCTACACGATGGGGAACATTTCGTTTAGGTAACTCGAAGCCGAACGTGCGCATGCAACTACTGAGAATTCCGCTCGCGCGACTATATCTACGTCTACACTACTACGTCTACGAGATGGTGCATCCGCAAACCGACGTTACGTGATAAGGCGTGCAACGGGAGAATCCGTTTGGCCGTGGGACGGTGCGAAGAAGAGACGGTGATTTCTCTCTCGTGAAGCGGGGCGCCGTGAGCGCCTGGAAAAACGCGTTCGTGCGGTCGACAGGCGGAAAACTGGCTCTTCACCGTCGCTGAAAATTGCTTTCCGCGTGGTCAAGAAGTCCTCGTTCTCCGATGGAGGTTCGCAACTTGTGCTCGGCTCCGCCGCGAAGGCGTAGTAATCATATAGCCGCTCTACGCGAAACTTAAAATCATATCACGCATCGCCGCGAATATTTGATAAGGCAAGCTCGTGGAAGAACGGAAATTAGTTGACTTTAGCTTTCGAAGAGCTTTAAGCTATTACATATTCCGTGATACAAGATTTTGAAAGATTCAAAAAAATTTTGCGAGAGTTTGATAAGTTTCCTGTCTTCGTTTAAGGTGCTAAAAACGAGATATTAATCTGAGAGCTTTACGAAAAGTAAAGTCAATAACCCTCATTCCTATCCGTACATATTTTCGTACGATAAAATATTAGTTTTAAGAACAACTTGGTTTAAATATTAGATAAAATATTAGTTTTAAGAACAACAAATCTACAGATTTTGCGCTCGATTACTCCGTTCAGATATTTTAATTAAAGTGCGATAAAAGTTGACCAAAAAATTTCACAGCCTGCTACTTCCCTACGCGGATATCGCGCTGCAATCATATTAAAGTAATTAAAAGAAGTCTTGAACAAAAGATTCCTGCCGCTTACATCTCCGCTCTTATCTGCATGGAGGATTGGAGGACGGGAAATAAAGTGACGATGCCGGAGATACCTTGAAAAGATTTTCCAGGTTCTTTTAAGCTTCGTGCCGCTCGTTGGGTATCTGTTGCTCTTTGATCTGGCGCCAAATAGGATATGGTTTACCCGGTTCCCATGGGCCATCGAAGGCTCCGAAGAAGCCCTTTTCTGATGGATGGAATAACCCTGGGCGGTTCATTTAATCATTTACAGAAGCAACGAGATCGCGGAGATCAATGCGAATCATATATATAAATCAAATGGAATAATTTTATGTGAATTCATAAATACTTTGATATTGTCGTATATAAGTTTTACAAACACCTTTTCGTTCCAAGCTCTCTCGCGATATTGGTAAACGTTATTCTTTGGGGGGAGAGATGTTATTATTCGTAAAGACGTTATTTTCCAATATTCCTGGGCACAATAACAGTAAAACGAATTCGATAAGACTTCAATAGTTCTTGATGCACTACGTATATCTTCGAGAAAAGCGGTTAGAGCGGTACCTCGTCTTTTTCTGAATATACGCAAAGATCCACGTCACGTTCGTAGTTCGTACCGAGAAAATTGTAAGGGGGTTTCTGGTGTAGCAATCACATTTGCAGTTCGACCGTCGGTTACGTCGCGTTTATTTTCTCGTTCTCGAGAAGATTCCCTATCCAGACTGTCATTGGCTCGTCCAATCAGATCGTTCGTTCATCCTCTCGCCATCGTCCTCTCTCTTTCCCGTCCAAATCTGATCTCGTCTATGATCATCCTCCGTAATAATTCTGACAAGCGCTGCTTGCCGGAACCTGTTGTACAGCAGGGTATATCGTAAAATTTGTAGCGAAAATTATGATCGGATACACCGGGGCTCGTAAAGTTAGCCCCTCATGATTCATCGCGACACATATATATTTTGCTTCGTAGCTTAGTTCGGCCCTTACTCCACCGGAGCGGCTACACGTGGTATACTGCGCCAACGCGATGCATCGGGAATGGACGTCTCGAGATGTAAATGCGCTGGCTGCGGCGGCGCGGCGCCGCAACCCCTTAACTAATTAAATTCAATCTTCATATATAACGCCTCTTATCCAACAGGCTTAATCAGGCCGATGACGTTAAGAAGCGGCCCCGCAGGATCCGGTTCTTGCACGTGCAATCGAGCGCCTCGTCTAATAATCATAAGCTCGGGTGATTACATTCGGGAACGAGCCGGTTTTCGCTATCGACCGCTAAATCCCACCTGTAAAATCTAAAATCGTAACCGGTATAATTGTGACCGGTTCGATTTTCCGCGTACGAGAGGACAAATGTACCTTGTGGCACTGTGTTCCCACCGATTTGAATAAACATGATGATTATACTCGCATAGATACGTAATATTGAAATACGAACCTATATACAAATTATACCGGCTTCAATTTGTTACTGTAAATGGATGCATGCATGCAAACATTAATCTGTAATCAATTAGAAATGATGTTAGTCTTTAACATCATCTCGATGTTTTTCGATTGCAACGTAAAACGATAATTAAACAAACGCTTCAGTATCTTTAGAGGTGTACGGATTTGCAGACTCGATCTCTGACCGAGAGACCACAAATTCTCCTAATTCACGAAATATCGACGCTGCACAATCGCGCCGGCGATCGTCAGCTTGGAGAACTCTTTCAACGGGCAAGGAGTTACTCGCGCGCTTCTGAAGATACGATTGTACGAAGAGAGACCACGCGAAAATAAAATGTGATGGCAGCGGACTTGATGCAGAAGAAGGAACGTCACGGTCAGAGCACAGTGTTGCGCTCGTGTTTCGCGACGTCATACAATCGCGACTACGTTTAAAGTCGATTCAAAATGATGAGGCGCGATTGACCATGCTCCTTAAGGATGTATTGCACCTATTTTCAAAGCGCTACCAAGTGGATAAAAATTTGTGAGAATGTTCTTTTAGTCTTCCTGATGTGCTACAAAAAAAGTAGAAACGAATCCACTAAACGGTTGCTGAGATATAACGATTTTAATTTTCACTGATTTTACACGTATTTTTATGGGAAGAGACGATTTTGACGGATAAAACAGCTAAAAAAATATTGAAGGAGCGCTACCAATATTTTGAATTTGTTTGTACATCTAGGCTGCGTTCCGATATTCACTGCAAGTACTGAAAATCTATAGTTTACGTAACGTACACTATAGATTTTCAGTACTGACAGTGAATATCGGAACGCAGCCCTAGTATACGAATAGATGAAACTATCTGTCAAGTTTCAATTGTCTTCACTACACCGTTTTAAAGAAATAAATTAATAATTAATGATAATTAATTATTAATTATTAATTATTAATTAATTATTAATTTTATTAATAATTTGACGTTATAAAGTTGAAATCAGGGCATTTTTACTGCCAAAAGTTTAGGCTCATAAATTACAAAAATCGCAAATAATACTGGAAAAAAACATTTGTAAAGTAAAAAATACCTTTGTAGGAGTAAAAATAAGACTCCTACTATCATTTGAGTATCTTACATCTAGATTTACTATGCGTTAGGCGTAGATATTCAAGTTATTTCAAATTTCATGCACTTTTGTCTAAGATTGTACCAGTGATACATCCTTAACGAGTTTACATTTACACAAATTCACATCCAAGCGTTCACACATGTATACACGTATACAGACATACACGAACGCGTATATGTTTTCTCTGTGATCCGGGGATCGGATCTGGCGAGCTGTAACTATTCGGCAAGTTCGAGTCTCGATACTTCGGGGTATAAAGAGCGCGGCTTATACTCGCGGAACATACATGTGGAAGTTATTTTTGTACATCGATTACGATACCGAAATTTGAACTCGCTAAAGTTACTCCGGTTTCAATCCCCGTTTTGTAGTTTACTGATGCGCGAACACGTTCACACGGACACGTGACATGGGAGGACATGAAGGGAAATCTGCGTGTGAGCGTTGGGGATATCACCTATGCACAGTCAAGAAAGCATGCAAGCTACGCCGCGTTACGACACGAAACGGCCATTAATTTCTGTACATATATATACACACACACATGACATGCGACACACACGCTGTACAGACATATCAATCAATACAGTTGATGTTGATACGTTGAGTGACGGAGGGCGAAATGGATCGAACAAAGTTCGGGTGTACGACATATAGACGACAATAAGTCTTCAAGTTTGGCACAAAATACAGATATACAATTTATATGTCAATTATGGGGGGGGGGGGAAGAGCAGTCGATATGAGTCGAGGGGCGGGGGTCGGGGAGAGACAATGTTTATATGCGGCAGAGTAATTGGTGGAAATGCGCTCGGACTGCATTTCGATGCGAGGAGGCAGTGCAACCTGCAGCGACGGCGACGGGCGACGGACGACGGGCGATGGCGATGCAGCGGCGCGTAATCGGGAGGTCGAAAACGAGCGACGCATTTCGGCACCTATCCCATCGGGTCACGATGGATCACAGCGCTCGTAAATTTCGCCGCGTGCATGCGTGCGAAAACGTGTATGGGATGTCCCTCGCGTTACGCCGTTGTCTAGAATCTCTCGCTGTTCGGCTCGATTGCGTCGGGTGTTTAACAGCCGCATTTTAATTGATTCCCGTCTAGCTTTTAACGAGTCCTACAAACGCGTTTTGAAATCCATCGAAAAATCACCGTTGCGCTATTGATAAGAGAAGATATTCGCGCGGTGATTTCTCACGACACGCGACGAGGGAAAAAAAGGGAAAAGGATCTTCGTTGCGATTGAATTGTTCCGGTCGATAAAGCTCGGTTCCTCGACGTGGCCGCGATTTAAGCGAGCTACACACACAGAGATATGTATCAAGAAACGGTATCGTGATACCGTCTCATGAGTCATGTCTCATCGTGTGTGGGTACGTCTTCGAAGGTTTCATGTATCAATTAAGTATCAACGAGTATCGATACATGAATCTAGTCTCCCGCTGTCGATGGAATACATATTATAGAGACCGAAACAATGATACTAAGCTATGTCTCAGCTTGTTTTCAAGTGTGT